ATGTATTGGTAAAAAATCAAATCATCAATCTATGTTGATCATCATTGTACAAGAAGTTTATTTTGTAGTTTTAGTAAAAGTAGATGAAAAAAGTGACCATTTGTATATAATGTAGTTTATCACCTCACTATGTGCTAAGATCCTTATATTCTCTTTAATCACTTAATGAACATATCAACTTGTCAAATAAGTAAACGTGATAATTTAATTTTTGCTACAAGTTGTTACATTGTTTTCCACTCTCATAAAGTAGGAGTTGGTCCGCCATTATTGATAAAATTTGATAATGATGTATAGGTATTAATCATTTAATTCTTTGATTGATATATTACATTGCATCACTTGTTAGCATTTACTGTCATTCTATTACATTTTTATATTTTACCACGTCATTCTAGTTTTTTACCCAAAAAATTATTTTAAAAAAGTCCCTGGACAAAAATAATATGGATCTAAATTAGATAGAAAATACTAGTTCTCTCAGATTTGCTAAATCCGAGAGTACCGTACAGTCGGATTTCGCAAATACGAGACCACCGAAACTCGGATTAGTGTAATCCGATACTTTAGTAACCTAAAATTAATTAAATTAAATCAAAAGATTAATTTAAGCTAATCAAGAGTCGGATTTCGCAAATCCGAGAGTCGGTAATAGAAAATATTTATTTTTTAGAAAAATAATCTAAGTGTTCAAAAATAAAAATTGACCATAAACGGATTAACCTAATCCGAAACATGGAAATTCGGATTTCGGAAATCCGAAAGTTTATAATAAAAAATTATTTTTAAGTTTTGGAAAAAAAAATCTAAGCATTAAAAATAAAAAGAAGGAGACTCGGATTTCAGTAATCCGAGTCCCTCTGTACTTACTCTCGGATTTGAGAAAACCGAGTTGTTTAAAAAATGACAACTTTCGGATTTGCGTTCACCTGGGTAGTCCCCATATCCACACAAGGCACATTGAGCAAAACATTAAACCCTAAAATCCAACGTTTTGAACTAAATCGGAAATTGAAAATCCAATTTTTAGTTAAACTCGGATTTGCGAAATCCAAGTTTAAACTAAAATCGGATTTGAGAATTCCGTAACTAAACCCTAAACCCTAAATGTCAGATTTTAGAAATCCGAGTTTAAGCTAATATTGGATTCTCGTAATCCGAGTTTGAGATAAACTCGGATTTGGGAAATCCGAAACTAAACCCTAAACCTTATGGCTTGATTTTGAAAATCCAATTTTTTTTCTTAACTCTAATTCTAGAAATTCGATTATTTGTTTAAAAAATACGTAACACTAGTACATATGAATTATACTGAATTAATAATAATATCTAATGATTAACAGATTTAACAGTAATAAGTAACACTAGTACCGGTAATGTATAGTGGGTAATTGTATTAATATACTACATAATACAAGTACGTATAAATAGTACATAACACAAGTATAGATGAATTATATTGAATTAATGATAATATCTAATGACTAATAGATTTAACAGTAATAAGTAACACTTAGTACCAGTGATGTATAGTGGGTAATTGTATTAATGTACTACATAATACTAGTACGTATAAAAAATGCATAACACTAGTACATATGAATTATACCGGATTAATGATAGTATCTAATGACTAACAGATTTAACAGTAATGAGTAACACTAGTACCAGTGATGTATAGTGGATAATAGTATTAATATATTACAAAATACTAGTACGTATAAAAAGTACATAATACTAGTACATATGAATTATACTGAACTAATGATAATATCTAATGACTAACAGATTTAACAGTAATAAGTTACACTAGTACTAATAATATATAGTGGGTAATAGTTATTAATGTACTAATAATACTAGTACGTATAAAAAGTACATAACACTAGTACATATGAATTATGCTGAATTAATGATAATATCTAATGACTAACAGATTTAACAGTAATAATTAACACTAGTACCACTGATGTATAGTGAATAATAGTATTAATGTACTACATAATACGCGTACGTACAAATAGTACATAACGCTACGTAACACCAGTAATATATATTTTTCATCAATTATACTGATTATTAATTCAATTCAAACTCCTATCAGTTTTAATAATACTACGTAACATTAGCAATATATATTTTTCATCAATTTAATGTAAATTCCAAGAAATTATTAGTAATAAAAGATTTTATTAATATCATATCTAATACAATATTTTTATTTTTTATTTTTTTTAAAAGTGGAGATGTCAATTTAATGCGAATTCCGATCAAAACTCAAATTTTTAAAGTTTTTTGCCTAAAAGATTTTTTTTTTTTAAAAAAAAAGATAGTGCGGATTTCCAAAATTCGATTTCATTGTTCATTTATTAAATTTTCAAACTTTCCCACCATAAATAAAATTTTAAATTTTCCCGCCCTTCAATTTTTTTTTAAAAAAAATATGTTGGGGAAGCTCTCGGATTTTGGAAATCCAAGTTTAATGTACACATTTTGACCTCGGTTCTTTTTTTTCAAAATAAAAAAAAATTATTTTATTATTTTTTATTGTTTCGAATTTGGCAAATCTGAAAGTCCGATTAATTAGACTCTCGAATTTACCAAATCCGGGACAATATCTTATGTCCACTAAAATTAAAATAAATTTTTTTTGTCCATATCAATTCTTTTAAATTTTTTGGCCGAACCACCCCACGTCATTTAACTAAAAGTGTAGAAACACAGTTCTCCATAAAAGGGTGTTAGTTTTTTAAGCCACCATCTTTACTACTTAAAGCCACCGTAAATATTTTTGGACTATTTTGCCCCCACATTTCAAACTTCCACCAAAGGAAAAAAGAGAGAAAACTTGAAGCCACCTCCCTTTTAGAAGTCTAATTTGATCCACCGTTGATGGCAACACGGAAGAATCATAGCGGGAAAGAGCCGATCTCATCACGGGTACGTTTTTTTTTAAAAAAAATTTGTGAATTGTAGGAAAAAAAAAATACATTATGGCCGCCAGACGCGAAAAGAAGCCGTCCGGCGGCGCGACCTGTGCGTCCCGGTTCAACCCGGAACGAGCAAAACGCCCGTTCCGGGTTGAACCAGGATGCGTTTCTTGCGCGTCCCGATACTATTAAAATAAATTGTAGAAATTTTTTTTTTTTTTTGTGGCCGCCGAACGGCCATGGAAGGCGTCTCGCGGCGCGACCGAGACGCGCAAGAAACGCGTCCCGGTTCAACCCAGAACGGGCGAAAATCAACCCGGAACGCGTCCCGGTCTGGTTTCACCCGGACCGGACGCGCAAGAAACGCGTCCCGGTTCAACCCGGAACGGGCGAAAATCAACCCGGAACGCGTCCCGGTCTGGTTTCACCCGGACCGGACGCGCAACACATGCGTCTCGGTTGTACCGGAGACGCACAATGAACGCGTCCGGTTCAATGGCCGGACGTGTTTGTTACTCATCCCCGGTTCAACCGGGACGTTTTTCTTGGCCAGACGTGTTTGTTGGTTTTCTTGCCCGGTTCGTTTTTTTTTAGTTTTTTTTTTTTACCTCTGAATTGCTCATTTTCTTTCTCTCTCTACTGTATTAAATGATAGGGGTAAAATCGTCCAATTTTTTTTTGTGGCTTTGAGTACTAAAGTTGGGGGCTTTAAAAATCCATCCCCCCATAAAAAAGAAGAAGAAAAAGAAGGAACGCAGTTCTCCTTAAAAAAGATAATGACGAGGAGGAGGTGGAGAGATTGAGCTATGAAATAATGTTCCAAAACTAAGACCAATATAAAAGCCCAATAACAGAAACTTTTGGTGACTTGACCGCGTAGAGGCCCGCAGGAGCCATTTTCAGTTAAGCCATGATTGCTGAATAAATATTACTCGTCTTTTATTCTAGACCCCAGCTTTTGGCTTTAAGTAGACGTGTTTATTTTGAAAAAAACAAAAGAAAAAGAAATACACATGTAAGGGTGTTTATCTGATTGGATACTCTTTCTGCTCTAACATTAATGTCTACTAATTTAATTTTTATTTTTTAGTTCAATTTGTAATGAAAATCGAAATTAGACAATCATTTTGAGACAGAAGGAGTATTTTTTTATTATATATATATATTTTTAAAATGTAAGAGATAAAGGATGACGCTAACAACGCAGCCATCCATCGAAACGCTTCCATGGCAATAACCTCTGAAGGCATAATAAGTCAAAACAAGGACCCGAAAAATTAAAAAGTCAAAACAAAGATATGATAATGGCCAAATACGTATACAAATTACAAACTAAAAGTTATTTAACAAATAAATAGGGTACGAAAATATAAGGGATTTAGGTGTAGCTTTGTCGGGACAAGATAATTTTTCTATGAATTTGGTGGATTCGATCTTGTGTTTGATCATATAAACTATTCTTAAGTACGTAATTCGTAAGTGGATGTGACAATATGAACCTATCTTCTACTTTTCAGGTGTGTATGGCCAATGAATAACATACCGTTTACACATATTTTTTAGAATTTAATGTCATTTTTCGTATCATAAAGAATTTCTGCAAATACTTATCAGAAAACTGAAAAAAAAAAAAAAAACAAAATACATCAAAAGAAAATTGCACATCGGCAATCAGAATTAAGCACGCGCAACATGTCCAATCAACATCTTATATCGGACCCTATCTACTTCCAAAAACAATAAAATAATTGACATGTAAATATCTCAATGGTTTTTAAAGTACATGGATGCCAGATGAAGTTGGAAAGTCAACCATTTCAAAAGTTTCCAATTCGGCTGCTCGTTGACCTTCAACTATATCCGTTCGTGCACTATCTACATGTGTATAGTGTCTACACCATAATTACATGCAAGAACTAGAAGAACACTGTCAAGGCCAATTGCACAAACATTCGCAGCTGTCAATTTCGTTCCAATTGGCTGACCAAAGTTTTACTTTTATACAAAGTTGACAAAAATAATTTTGCCTATTTAAAGTGTTTCAAACTTCAAATAATTCATCAACAACAAAAAAAAGTTGATTAATCAGACAGAAGTGGGAAAATGGAAAACCTACACTTCAAAATCCTGGTTCTTGCCATTTCCCATTTCCTGCTAATCTCAACTTCCTATTCACAACCAAACCTTAACAATCTCTTCCAATGCCTTTACAATGATTCTTCATTATCTTCATCAAACGTCGTTTATGTTCCGTTAAATTCCAATTCTTCGTATTCGTCGCTGTTGGAATCCACCATTCGCAACAACAGATTCCTCACCTCTGCCACCCCAAAACCAGTCGCTATAGTCAAACCTTCGAACTATAACCAAATTCAGGCCACCGTGAAATGTTGCAAAATTCATGGAGTCCAAATTCGGATACGAAGCGGCGGCCATGACTACGAAGGCCTGTCCTACACGACCCGATTGGCGCCTTTCGTCGTGATCGATCTTCAGAGTCTGAATTCGGTTAATGTCAGTCTTGAAGATAACAGCGCGTGGGTTCAATCAGGAGCCACGCTTGGCGAGGTGTATTACGCGATCACGCAGAAAAGTGCGAATCGTGCATTTTCAGCCGGGATTTGTAACACTGTTGGCGTTGGTGGACACCTAAGTGGAGGTGGCTATGGTACGATATCGCGAAAATACGGCCTTTCTGCGGATAATGTCGTTGATGCTGTCGTAATCAACGCGGACGGGCAAATTCTGGATCGAAAATCGATGGGGGAAGATTTGTTCTGGGCTATAAGAGGTGGTGGAGGATCAAGTTTCGGGATCATTCTTTCCTGGAAAATCAAGTTATCAGAAGTTCCATCAGTTGTGACAGTTTTCAGAGTCGCCAGGACTCTGGCGCAAGGTGGAACTGATCTTGTACAAAAATGGCAGACTATTGGGAAGAACTTCACCAAAGATTTGTTCATGAGGTTGGTTATTGAGGTAATTGCGGAAGGAAATAGCAAAACCATTCGAATCAAATTCGAAACGTTGTATTTGGGCAAAATTGATCAGCTTCTGGCCATATTGAACACAAATTTCCCTGAACTTGGTTTGAAAAGAGAAGATTGCACTGAAACAAGCTGGATTAAGTCCATTCTGTTCTTCGGGAATCGAAACATGGACGATTTCGATCAACTGAAGAACAGAGTACCGGACGCGAGGAGATTCTTCAAAGCAACTTCAGATTACGTGAAGCAACCTTTGTCAAAATCCGCATTGGAAATGTTATGGAAATGGTGTGTGGAGGGACAGAATCCGATACTGATTTTCGAACCTTACGGTGGAATAATGGATGAGATTCCGACAGGAAATCTGCCATTTCCTTATCGAAAGGGCACACTATACAACATTCAGTACTTGATTCAATGGGATAATGTTTCAGAATCGGATGTTCATATCAATTGGATTAGAAAATTGTATGGAAATATGACCCCTTTCGTGTCAAAAGGACCAAGAGGTGCTTATCTGAATTATAGGGATCTTGATTTCGGTGTCAATAAGGTTTCTGGTGGAACACCTTATTCGGAAGCAGAACAATGGGGGAGCAAGTATTTTGGTGCAAATTTCAGGAGATTAGCAATGGTGAAGAAGAAAGTTGATCCCCAAAATTTCTTCAGAGATGAACAGAGCATTCCGCCATTTTGATCATAAAGTATAGAATAGAAACTTTTGAATCCGATTCCTAATAGTCATTTATACTCTTGAAATATGGTTCATTTCGTGGTTTTTCTCTTCAGGGTAAATACAATGCCAGGAATTCCACTTGAATAATTTTTTGCTCTTTTCATGTTTGGCAATAAATAATCGATGTTACTGAGTCATTTTTGTTTGTCTTAAATTTCATCTTGTATGTTATTCTCATTGAAAATAAGACCTTAAAAAACTTATTTTCACGTTTATTGTGTTCTTCCCATTATTATGAAATATTTTTAAGATTTTTATTTTAAATCGGAATAACATACTCTATGAAACTTAGGTGTTTGTCTTAACTTTCATTTTGTATGTTATTCTCATTGAAAATAAGACCTTAAACAACCTATTTTCACATTTATTGTGTTCTTCCCATTATTATGAAATATTTTTAAGGTTTTATTTTAAATCGGAATAACATACTCTATGAAACTTAGGACAAATCAAAATACCTGAGGAAGTATTATTTAGTGCAAAGTTATAGTCACGTGATCTTCTTCAACATATGCATTCAAGAAAAAAATTATTACTCATACAATATAAAAGCTCAAGGGATTCCACCTCAAAACCAATTAAAAATAAGGGAAATAGCCCATAGACTTATATATTGATATCAAGTCTCTCCCACCACAGATGTGGGATACTCAACATACAAGCATAATTCCAAATCTGTTTCGGAATAATTTTCCTAAAGTATGAACTTATCCTATTAGCGTAATCATGTTGGATTCTTGGACTTGTACTGATGGTTATATTATTAGACAGCCGACGAGTTTACATGTTAGACGAGTTTCTTCTCTTCATGTACTCAAGAGGTGGTTAAGGTAATTGGGAGGTATGTTTTTCATATGGATGATGAAAAATGCCTGAACCAGCCCCAAGATTGGAGGAGTTCATCGGATGTGGTATGTAAGGATTGCCTAAGTGAGAGGCAGATTCGTTTTGATTTAGAATGGAATTAATTTACCTTCGTGTTCTAGCAAGAATGGTGATGATGAACCAAACAAACAAACAGTTCGTTCGGGTAGAGACGGAATTGGTTTTTAATTTTGGGTCTTTTTTTACATTTTATTTTTTTGGGTGTATTATGCACATGATTTTTTGACTTTTTGAGTTTGAAGAGGATGATCTTTTCACATAGACGTTTTCATATTGTTATTTATAGAAGTCAATATCAATGAATTTAGATGCTTAGTTAGGTTGTGTTTGTACAATTAGCTCTTTTGTTTTATGTTTTTGTTTCAGTTTATAAACATGGTGATGGAAATGTATTAAAAGAAAAAACAAAAAGAGCAAAACATTGTGTTGAAAAAATAAAAAAATATATTAGTTTATAATATGTTACCATATGGGAATGAGGCCGTAACTGGTAAGGCAGGTGAATCTCGTAAATGTCTATGGATCCGGAATATGTACGGGGTTTTAAGAAATAAAAAAACATACATATTCTCATTTTCGCTTGAAAGAAAGATAAAATATACTCATTGTTATAGAAAAATCTAATTTGATTGAATGTCCACATTAATATGTAGTATTATTCTATTCACAATCAAGGAGACATGATTCTGTAATATTTAGCATTAATAATAGGTGATTCATTTCATATAGTTTGATCCCCTACTTCTTGTATAAATACGGAGCTCATTCATGCTTCAAAATACATCTGAATATATTGAAGGATCACACAGCAAACACTGCAATGATCTTTTCCCGCCTGAAACACATTTCAGCATTCGATCCACCGACTAAAGGAAACGACGACGTTCTTGCTTCCTGCTCTTCTTAAAACTCAAACACAGCACACGCAGGACGGTTCATACAATTGGCGTGACTTGATGATGAGCTGGAAAACTGAGCTGGAATTGATGCGAAGCTTCCGGAATCATCACAGCTCACACAATATGCTTGGAGAACGGGCATGCTTGAAGATCACGTCAAGGAGCCTCTAGTAAATATTTTTTGTTTGCAGTGAACATTCTAGAGCAGGGAGTTAGTGTGTAATATTTGAAGCAATACAGTTTTCTTGCAGATGTATAAATAGCTCTAGGATCCTTGTGAACCTTTCAACATATAGGAATATACAAAAGAAGATTTTTCAGTTCTGATGAGCTATCTTCTCCCCTCCCCGATTCTGAGTTTTTTATGATGGTATCAGAGCAGGTTTATCCTGCCTGATCACCTATCATTTCCGCTATCTTTTTTTATTTTTCCCCTTCTTGTTGCTTATCTTTTCCCCGTTTTCTTTTGGGGTTCTTTCTTTGTATCAAATCTGGTCCTATTCTTGTGCTTTCTGCGGTTCAATCATCTTTTGTTCCATTCTCAACCATTACCTGTTTGATTTGGTGCCTAAATGGATCGAGAGGAAGAAATTATGAATGCCAGAAAAGAGCAATTGATGCTCCATGGATCTGATTCGCCTGGAACTATACTGGTTACAGTGCCCCTTACTGAGAAGAATTATCTCATATGGAGAAATTCTATGATCATAGCATTGGAAGCCAAGGAGAAGCTAGGATTTGTGGACGGTAGCTGTGTGATGCCAAGAGAAGGATCTCCGGATTACCACAAATGGCGTCGAGTCAACAGCATGGTCGTTTCATGGATCAAGAACTCCATATCTTCTGAACTGGTAAATAGCTTTACCTTCATCACTGGAGCAAAGGACCTTTGGGATGAAATACATGAAAGGTATGGAGCTTCAAACTCTGCTCTTCTATTTCAACTGAAGAGGGAAATTGCACTTGCAAGGCAAGGAGATCTGTCAATTGTTTAATACTACAGCTACATCAAACAGCTGTGGGATCAAGTGGAACAGCTCAGGCCTATGCCAGCCTGTGATGATACTGTTAGGAAGGTTCTGTTGGAAAGAGACGCAGAGGATAAAGTGATGCAGTTACTGATGGGTCTTAGTGATGTTTTTGAAGCTGAAAAGAGTCAAATCCTTCTAATGGACCCTATTCCTACAGCCAACAAGGTCTATTCTATGCTGTTGAAAGCTGAGAAGCATAAGCAAGTGGCTAATTCGATTGTGTCAATTAATGACAATGCTGCTATGATGGTGAAAGGATCTAACCCTAAGTGGAAGAAGGATGCAGGACAGAAGCAGCCTTATGTGAAGAAGGATAAGAGTCACTTGTTCTGTACACACTGTCAGAGAACCGGACATCTCAAGGAAGACTGCTTCAAGATTAAAGGCTATCCAGATTGGTGGAAACCTTCCAAGGGAAAAACTCAAGCAGCTAATAATGTTAGCAGTTCTGAAACTCATGTGGATAATATTGATTATCCGGGTAAGGATTTGGGTGCTATGATATCTGAAGCAGTTCAGAAAGAGATTGGCAGATTTATGAAAGGAAAATATCCTTTGGAAGCTGCAAATGATCATCAGGTCAACTTTGCACATTTCCAGGATTTTGCAGGTAATACCATTTTTTCTTTTCTTAGTTCCAAGCTTTCTGATTATATACATAGAGATGCTTGGATATCAGATACTGGTGCTACTAGTCATATGTGTGCCTACATAGCCATTTTGAATCACACAAAATCCACCACCAAATGCACTCCTGTACAATTGCCTGATGGAAATATAACCTTTGTTCATTCCATAGGTGATTATGACATTCATGATTCTATAACTCTAAAAAACTGTTTATATGTGCCCTCCTTCAAACATAATATGCTTTCCGTTAAGAAATTAGCAAAAGACTCACATGTGTTTTTCCGTTTCTTTGAATCATTTTGTCTGCTGCAGGACCTATGGACTCATAAGGTCATTGTAGCTGGTAAAATAGTACAAGGACTATACATTTTAGACAGAAGTTCATTCTCTGAGACAGCTATTTTGTAATCTCAGGAACTTTATGCTTCTTATATGTTAAGTTTTAGGCCTCCTGAGGTTCTAGAACCAAGGAATAATGTTTTGAGAAAAGCACTAGCTGCTGTTACCATTAGCACCTGGCATCTAAGGTTGGGACATCCCTCCTCAAATGTAATAAGAGTTTTAGCTGATAAGCTTTCTGTAAAGGGCAAAGAATGTACTCTTGATCAATGTGATGTTTGTCCTTTATCTAAACAAAGTCGAAATCCTTTCCCTGCAAGCTCTAGTAAATCAGCACACTACTTTGCTTTATTGCATATTGATGTATGGGGGCCATATAGCAAACCTTCTTACAATGGATCACAGTTTTTCTTAACCATTGTGGATGATTATAGCCGGTGTGTATGGACATTCTTATTCAAGCATAAAACACAGGTTGCCAACATTCTTACCTCCTTCTTTTCCTATGTCAAAACACAATTTCAAAGCCATGTTCAGATCATCAGGACGGATAATGGCACTGAATTCCTGAGTGACAAATTTCAACAGTTACTCAGTAGTCTAGGTATAGTTCATCAAAGAAGTTGTCCCTATACACCACAGCAAAATGGTGTTGTTGAGAGAAAGCATCGACATATCTTACAGGTTGCCAGGGCTCTTTTGATCCAATCCAACCTTTCCAAATCTTTTTGGGGGGAATCCATCCTCACTGCAACCCATCTTATCAATCGCCTTCCTTCACCATTCCTTAGTTGGCGTTCACCTGTTGAGCTATTAAATGGCAAGATCCCTGACCTCTCTTACCTAAGAGTTTTTGGTTGCCAGGCTTTCGTTGTTGATACTTCTCTTAGCCGTGACAAATTTGATGCTAGGTCGCATAAGGGCATCATGGTAGGATATCCACCTAATCAGAAAGGTTACAAAATTTTTGTTCCCTCTCTTCATAAGATTGTTGTGTCTAGGAATGTCAAATTCCAAGAGGATTTGTTTCCATACAAACCTGTTAATGATAATATTGCATTGCTTCCTAGAATTTCCAGCCATGATGAGGATTTCTCATTCACAGATTCCGTGATACCTCATGAAACTGTATCTGATCAAACTCAAAATGAGTTTTCTTCTTCAAATTTAGAACACCCTCCTGATCCTTCCATTCTTCCCGATCAGAATTCGTCACACCCCTTGCCTTCTCAATCATCCACTGTTCCTACTTCCCCTTCACCATTTGCTCCACTTCATCGTAGCACCCGAAACACCACTCAACCATGTTGGTTAAAAGATTTTGTACGCTTTTCTCACTGTTTGCATGTTTCTGAGCCTAATTCTTCCACCTCTGATTGTTGTTTCTCTTCTAGTCATATACAATTCCTTGCAAACATATCTGATATCCAAGAACCTACTAGTTATA